TCAGACAGGTCCAAACGCTTACCATATTAGGGCCTGTTATCAGCAAGAAATTTGATCCATCAGTAGCATACTGAAAGTTACGAAAACAGGTGAAAGTCAGTAAGGTTGTTAGGGAAGGTCGGTTTCTTTGACTATGACTATTTGTTATCCCGTTTATCTAAATTTAGATCTCCTTCGAAGGAAACAAGCCGCCTATTGCAACCGTGAGAGGAAATGAAAGAATATTGTCTTAGTGCTCATCATTACCAATCAAATCAACTCATGCCTTATGAAAACTATTTTTAAGGCAAACCATAATCGCTCTACTTTAAGACTAAGAGTAGTTTATACAAACCGTGTTGTTTGCCACTGGTGGTTCTGGAAGAATTTTGTCCAGAATTGGATGACGTCCGTCCTTAATTGCCAAGGTGTCTGTGAATTCTGGTCGCACTGCAAAATGGGAACACCGACCGGCAAAAACATTTCATTTTGTCCCAAAAGGTACACTGAGTTGTCTGATGAAACGGACATCAGTCATGCAAGATTGTAATATTGTTTTCAAGAAGCTTAAACCGGCTTGAAAAACATGTACAATCACCAAATGAACACTACCAAGACACATTTAAGAGCCACTGTTAACGTTAGTACAACCGCAGTGAAAGCACTCGCTCGCTAAGCGAAGAGGTACCAAGACTGTTCACAGTTTGACTTCTCTCTTGACTGTAGCTACTAGAGCTATTGTTTTTTAAAACTTCAGTTGTTACTTATGCTTGCTCACAGCCCGCTTCGTGTAGTGACCAAAAAAGCACTCTCCGCTTGCTTCACAGCTTTTCTGCTATGAAACTAATGAGGAAATTTAAAGAAAGCAAAACCGTGTGGACATGTTTGGGTTAGCAGACTAAGTAAACTCTGTGTCGATAATAATTTGGCAGTGCAGCTACACGACTACGATCGACAACAGAACACACAGTAATGAAACCTGGTTATCAAGAGGTTATGGAAAAACGCTGGTTATCAAACCCAAACAGGAACCTCCACGCGACCAAAACCCATGGTCAGCTTTAATCTCAAGTACAACCACCTATGTAGGTCACAGATCTGGCGGCAAGATTAGACTGAGTAACTACCGAAATACAGAAGGTATATTTCCAAGCTTATCATGAAATAAAATTCAAGTACGACTAGCATTAAAAGACCAAAACAGGAAAACACCCCTGAATAGGGGTGAATTCCTGACTAACCTTGACCCACTCAAAGAAACAACAACGAAATCTTGGGCAAACTTTAAAGATAACCTATCAAATACCTTAAATCATAACTTAATAAAAAGTAACATAATGCATTTACCAAAGGTTGCCACATTCCAGTAAGTAAGTCATTTTATTGATAGTCAAAAAAGGGAAAGAAGGAAAGGAAACAGAGAAAACTCACCATAGTCAGAAATTGTGCATAGGTGGGCGAACGAAACTAGCATGTCCAAGACACTGACAAGTTCAGCAAGTTTGTATAAACATCCCATATGATCACGGATCTCACTCAGAAGTTCAGATACAACCCTGTATTATGTTAGAAATAAAAACAGTTTTGTCATCACTTTAGAATTATTGCGCTCGTTGACTTTCAGGAAGTCTGTGAATTAGCACTGAATTGCTTACACGTTGGTCATGAGGTATATTTCGTTCAAAGATTCTTTTATTCTGTCTGAAAAACAAAATGCGAAACAGATTTTAAGACCTACAACTTTGAGAGAAAAGTCACAATAAATGAAGAAAAATAGACCTCTCTCATAATGGCGGCCCAGTAATATATTCTTTTATATGTATGATAATTAACCTTTTCTGACCACAAAACACAAAAGAATTCTTATTTTCAAACGAAGTCAAAAAGGCTAATTATCATTAATAGGCCGACATTACGAAAGAGGTTTATTGTAACCTTACCATTAAGCTTGATCTGTATCCATGAAAGATTGGATATGACAAAGAAAATAGAGTGAGTCGATTAGTAAATAAAAAAAGCTGTCATTGCAAAACTACAATACCAGACAGTACTGTTTAAAAGTATTTCTCCGATAATCAGTTTACTCTCTCATAACCTAAAGGCCAATTCTGGAGAATGCGCTCCAGTGTGGTGTCCTTAGAAAGTTCAACCAACCCACTTTAAATAAATTCCCGTTCCATGACTTCTGTGGGTTAGCGCAAAACGAAAAAGACGTAACCACAATTAAAGTTGAAATTAATTAATTTTTTTGTGTAAAAGCCTAACTCACCAGATCAACTGTGGTAAAGCTGACCACACCTCGTACTTTAACCACCTTTAAAAATTCACTCGGCAGCGAGCTGAGGTCAACATCTTGATCACGATTTACTGTCAGTTGAATGAAAAATCCTCTGGTAGCATTGAAGCCAGTTTTAAGCGGGAGATTGTGTTTCTCTCCCAGCTGCTTTATCATTTCTGCAACATTGATTAGCAAAAGAAGTTGTCAATAGACCAATTCCGATATATTAAAATTCATACTTAGCTCCGAGGATTGAGGGAATGAAGCAAAAGAAATGTACTATTCATTATTGAGCCTCAAGATGATTTCTTTTTTTTTTTGTTCCCCCAAGCCTCGCAGCCAAGTATGAATTTTAACACATCGAAAGTTATCTATTCACAGAGCTAGATACCATAATAATAGTAACAAAAAAATGTCCAGCCACTGGTGAACAAGTTATGCATGTGTAACTAGTTACTACACAAAACGACTTCGATAGTCTCCATTTCATATCTGTAAATTTTGATTAGCATGGAGTCTAGCTTCACCTTTTGGAAAAGTTTGATAGTAGGTTAAGAGCCACCTTAAATTTTCGTCGAATCAAGATGGCCCTAAAGTTGGTTTCCAAGTTTTTAAAACTTAGTTCTGTTTCTAGTATTTAGGTACAGTTTTCACAGTTCGCCAGACAACAACAACAACAACAAATGGGTGTCACAGAACTCGTTTTGATTCACAAGCACGCAAAGCTGATCAAGAGCGTTTTTTAGAGGTCAATAATGTTGCTATAAAAACCTCTTATTGTTTTATGCCAAAAATAACCAGAACTCGTTAAACAAATGATTTGGCATTTCTTTGATACCATCAGTGCAGCATCAGCAAAAAAAGCAAATTAAAAGTCCTATGAAAAAGTAGAAAACTGTTGCACTGTGAGCCATCTCTGAGAAAAGATCTTATATGTTCAACAAAGGGATTCGTTATGAATTAAGATGGTGAGAGTAGGATTTGCACAACGGAGGTGGGATTCGAAAAAGGTTTGGCTGGAAAATTTGGATTCGAATATTCCCTCCTGACCACTCCCCGCCCCTCCCCCACCCGCCCCCCCAAAAAGAAAAAAACAAAAACAAAAAACAAAACAAAAAAAAGGGTGATGCACTTGCAGTGCTGCTGTTTTGCCAATACACCCTATTTGTTTTTAGATGCGACAGTGCGACGACGCCAGCGTGGACAATATATAACAAAACGGTTTAATGAGCGAAAGAAATGCCTCTGCACCTGCCTTAATATTTGGGGGAATTGCTCTACCGTTCTCTGCGAAAAACACGACGTTACTGACTTAATACCGAGACTCACCAGTAATGTCATCAACAATCTCGGTATATGTTCTCCTTGCAACGTCTAAAAGACCTGTTGAGAAGCCATTGATAATTTTGAGTATAAACATAACGTCTACAAAAAGAACAGTATTACGAGAATTCTCTCAATTGTAGGCAAATGCTCCTTTATCGGAACTGAGAGCTTGAGAAAATCAAAATAGAGACTTATAAACTCTTTTACGACTTACTGCAAACGTCAAATTGAAGTTGAAAATTTCTCAAATTACTGTGCAAAATTATTCTCATGGATTAAACCTAAAATAATACCTTGTGTTTTGAACAAGTATAAAGAACAGTAAAGGACGATTGATTGGATAAGTTGGTCACGTGTTACAAATTATCTTTGCCGTTTACCATAAGCGTAAGCAAAACCCAGATCTCTCTACCTAACAGACGGTGACACTATGAAATCAACTTGATTCATAAACCTGACGTTGAGGTTACATGACTTTTAATCCCGACATTGTAGCCTGACATTCTCTTTCGAACCACTGAGTGGAATATTACGATAAGGCAATCTTCCCCCGCCCCCTCTGCACTCGTTCCCATCATCCCCCACTCGAGCTTCTTCTCGCTCGTCTCCAGCACCCCGCTTGTTAAGGCCGTATCTCCAGCTCAGACTTATGAAAAAGCCTGTGGAGAAGGCACCAAGGCAATCCCGTCTTTTAAGTCATACGATCATGTGATAATTGTTATTTCATAATGTAGTACATTTTCTTTTTGTAAGAATCGTTTTATTTTACATGAGACTTATGAGACTGAGATGAAGACCATAAGGAAAAGTGCTAAATGTACTTTTATTTTCCAAGGAGCTACAAACACGTAGTAAGAACATAAATTTCTATAAAAAATAAACGTACTATATAATTTTCAACATGGTGGATGTATCTAGGACTTTTTTAGGATTGTACTTCAGTTGATTGAGAGTCTGTCCTCGGCCACTTTCAGTAGTTTCAGGGCGCTTACCAAAAGTCAGAACTGGTTGCTCTCAACGGTCATTTTGAAAATAAAGTATCAGTCTGTTATAGAGATTTTACGTGAAAATACAACACTGCAGGGTATACGATTCTGGCCGAATAGTCGTGATCAATAGTAAAATTCTCTTTAGAACTGGATTGGTCCAAGTGTCCTTGGATTATCGCCTCAGCTGCAATAAATGTTGACCGCCTTCCTTTTTCGCGCAAAAAAGGTGAACGTTTTTTTTATCCATATACGTTGTTAGAAAACGAGTTTAGAGCTGTGTCGTCACCGATTAGAACCTGTGTTATAGTCAAATTACAGGCCAGGAACTAAACAAATCGAAAACTTGAAATTGAGATAAATGACATAGTTAAAAGAACGTGGGACACTCTTATAATGTTTTTGATTTCTTGCAATCATATTTTTAAACCCTAAGTATTAGAAACAAAATTATTGGCCATAGCTTTATTAATAAAAATTCCCTTCGCAATGTTTGGACAAGCACTAAACGGGCTGTTCTTGTCAAAACATATTTTCATGCCCTTTCCAACTTCTGGGTTTTCTTCAAACTCTTCGGCATCTGGATTTTCTCTTTCCATTTGTGGCCTTAAGTGTGAGTCTTGAGGCTGAAGAACAATCAAAGCATTTATTTAGATTACGTTTGCAAAAGCACTAGACAATATATAGGCACAACCTAAAAGTACGTGTGTGAGACTGCGCAGTGCATACGGAAATTTAACAGAAGACCATCGCACCATTCATGTTGATTTATTATGCATGATAATAGTTCAAAAACTGGGACAAATCATCATTGTTAATGTTGTTGATAGCTGTGTTGTCTAATAGTACCTTACAGTATACGTATCCTGTTCAAAAACAAACGTTGAAACAATAAAGGAAACAAAGGAGAGTCGCCTTAACCTATTCTAACGGTTAACAGCATTATACTTCCGCCCGGAAATAAACAATTGAATAGAAGAATCAATTCAGCACTATCATAAGTCCGAAACCGCGAGAAATTTGTATAGGTAATAGTATGATTTGTACTAATATTTGGCATAAATACCACGAGTGATATTTCAAAATTGTTATACGTAATTTCACGAGCCGTTAGGCGAGTGAGATTTGAGACAATTTTGAAATATCACGAGTGGTATTTATGCCAAATATCACGTACAAATCATGCTTTTATTTGTTTATACTACTACCAGCAAAGGGTTTGTAATTTTCACCTGCAGGTATTTCAAATTAAGCTGAAATACCACTGCTCTAAGCCAATCAAATTGCAGAAATTTCTCAAGTAGTAGTATAATTCACCGAAATTCAATTTTTGTTACTCTCAAGGCTATAAATTCGACCACTATTTGCACTGCAGATACGCAAAGGGATAATGAAAATTCGAAATTCGGAAAGAAAAGTGATGTGGTAATAACAGGGTTCGTACAGATTTTAGGATCCAAAATTCAAGACTTTTTCCAGCCTTCATCAAAACAATAATTTCTTTTTCCAGACCCAAGGTTATCAAATAGGTGATCAATGGAGACCATAAAAAACGCGGAAACAAAGCTCTTTTCATGATGCGCTGCAAACAAACGGGCGAGATTGAATAAGATTTGACCAAAACGAAAACATATCACCTCGAAAGCACTTGTTGTAGCTTTGAAAAAACTCAATACTTTTTACCATTTCTCCAAACTTAATCTCCCTTTTCCAGACTTTTCAGGTCCGAAAAATTGCTGGCCAAGAGTTCAAAACTCTGTACGAACCCTGTAATAAACATACGTCACAGACCTGATAAGGCCCTGCCTCTTCGGGTGTATCATCCAGAAAGTGACTTTTCATGACAGGGTTAAAGTAACTTGCCAGGGCTGCTACACTGGATTCAATGTGTAAGAAATGATCACATTTTGCCAAGAGTAAAATATCCATAAGCACCTGCGTCCCGAGAGCCTTGTGAAATTGATCTGGGTTGCGCTGGACTTGGAGGACGTGTGGAGGTTCACCATGGTAACTTTTGGCTCTTGTAGCCTCGATGAATAAAACCTTTTTACAGCAAAAGAGAATGATTAATTTTTTTTGCCATGGTTACCGTGAAAGACGTCTTGGAATTTTTATTGTGGCTATTAATGTAATTGATGGACAGTGTTAAAGAACCTCAAACCTACTGGCTTCTGTTTTATTATTATCGCTTTTGGATAAAACAAAGAAAAAGCTACCCCGAGAAAGAGGCGCAATGGTACCGCACTAAACCGTGTTATTTAAAAATGAGTAAGTTTTAACTCGAAAGGTTTAATAGGCTAGATGAGTCTGATCTATTAGAAATAGGGAGTATAGGGAAATTCAAAGATCGACAGAAAAAAATTTACGAGCGGTGAAAGCTAAGGAAAATATATATGTCCACTGCTTTCACTTGTCTTTTTTTCCCATCATTTTAACACCTTGAATTTTACTGCCTGTATCCATGAAGATCACTCAGTTACAATTGATAAAATAAAAGTGCCCATCACTAATGAGAAGAACTGGAAACGCAGCTAGTAGTACTACAGTTAGTACTACTGCAGCTGCTCATTTTTGAACATCGTTAAAACAGTTGTCTTCTATTGTTAAGTTAAATTTTAAAAGGTAAATAGATCACTTTTTCCGTTTCCTGGGATATATTCAAAGTCTTGAAATATTTTTGGAGGTTCACAGTAGTCACTTAAACGAGTGTTTCTTACATGTGAAGAACGAATGATCAGGAATATTTATCTTACAGTCATCTTACCTTCTTTTGTCCAAAAAACCTTACAAAATGATCGATGACCTCTGTATTGTCACTAGCAATGTATATTTTCCGGGGCTCTGAAAGTTTTTCGAAAATTGAAGCTGCTTTATTTATCCAGTCTGATATTGTAGGTAATTTTCCCTCGCGTCTCTCCAGCCAGTGGTCGGTAGCTCGTACTTGCACTCCTAAGAGAGTGTTTCCAGCTAGATACCTACTGAAGAAACTGTTGACCTTTTGCTTGATTCTAGCATTGGGTCTAACAAACCGATTTAACCACCGGTTTACTCTTCTCCTTTCCTTTGGGGTTATGATAGTGCTGTTTTGATAACCAACAACATTTGAGCGGTCTCTAAAGCTACTGTCTAAAACTGGCCATATGTCTGGTCGTAGTACAGGTAACTCAAAGTACCCACCAAGCGGGCATATTACTTTTTTCGCTTTAAATTCAAAACCTTGATTTATTGGCTCAAAGTACCATTTCCAAGAATTCACACTTGGGTCTTTTGAGCATCCTGAATGGCAATTCCGCCAATATACGATAGGCGTGTCGCTTCCTAAGGCTTGGCATGTGAAGATATGATCCAGGGTATACAAAAGTAATGCAGAGAATCCATTACCATCGCACTCAATCAAAGCAGGGTCTACAACGCAAGCGGTAACCTCCGTTGAAGCTTGCTCAGTATTTACTCGTGTAGCAGCAATAAAATCACCCGTTTTTATCACGGTAGCTATCTGATTCCAAGGAGACCAGTCTTGATCTGATAAAGCTGTACCATTTGAACTTCGAATGTTAATCAAGACAAGCGTGATGAAACTCAACGTCAAAAAGATGATAAAAAGACAAAAATGCAAACATTTCAAACGTTTGATCCGAGCAACCATGATATTGGGTCTGAAGTACATCAAAACCTGTAGCGCTGCTACAACTGTATTTGCGCGTTATCTACACTGTCAGTAGTTAGTCGGGGATTCATTCACTCTTTTCATGATATACGTTTTGATACTTAAGAGCACTCGATGTATATGAATGAAAATGGGCCACTTTCAAGTAAAATATCGCCACACACACTTACACGCACACTTAATTATTATTAACAATCTACATTTACATTAAGTCTATTTCCGCCCGCGAATAGCAGGTGCTAGTCGGTCAATCGAGGCGGGCGGAGATGATAGGTACAGTAGTCGGTAATAAATTACAAATAAATAGATGAATAAATAAATAAATAACTAGACATATACAAATAAGTGAAATAAAGCTTAAACATAAATTAATAACATTTACAAAATCAACTACTTGAAACTCGTAAAATTAACTGCGACACTAAAACAAGTGCGGGGGTTTCATCAAGGGTTTTAAACACCGAAAAACAGGTGAAACGGCCGAGTGCTTTTATTGTTTCGACTCATCCACCTGACCAAAATAGACATCATTTATAGGCTGGTCATTGTGGATTCTTGTTACACTCATATGAACAATTATTTTAAGGGTGACATACAGCTGTTTTCATCGATTGAAGGTTACTTCCCTTTAATGAACATATTGTATAAAGTTGACCTCATATATCAAAACTTATTTACAGGCCTTATAACCAGAAGAGGGGGAGTGCTGGATTACTACACCTGTTAAACCTTTGTTACTTCGAATAAAACTTGTGACATTCAAAATTGACCAGCAAGCAGCTTTGTGCACTTTGCGACAGCAGACTTCCTTTGCTTTGTTTTCTTTTTTCCTTTTTTATTTAATCTGTCAAGTGAGCAGTCAGAAAACTGTGTCCAACATATGTACGAGGAACATCCCATTTTCACTTTACTTTACAATCCAGAACGGGTATAGAAAGATACAGGTTTTAATGACTCAGTGACATCTAACGAATGAATTACACTAGTTCATAGCGGGACACACACTGATTAACTTACAAAACCACTTAGTATAACTTGAGCTTCTGAAAATATTCAACATATTTTGTTAGTGTAATATTGGTATGTCCTTACCGTTAATATGAGGCTTCTCATCCAATTTCGAAGTTTTTCCGATGATTGGGAGTAAAATAATTTAGAATTAGTATAATAAACTGAGTCAATCTAACTTAGGAAAACGTCAATCATCATTAAGGGAAACTTATATGTCTCATGATTGCTGTGAACTTAAGTAAAATTTTCAAAAGTGATATTTGCATTAGAGTGGTTTTCGTTTGAGTGTCGTAAAACCAAAACCAAAGTAATTACTCTGGCCAATCACATAGGACACAGACAATACATTGAACCAATCAAAACTCGAAGAAATTACATGTGGCTGACGCAAAGCGCGGGAAAATGCATGCGAGCGCGTCACAATTGGCTTTGGTTTTACTTCTGATTGGATGAAAAGGTGGCGCGAATCTTTTAAGCCAATCGCATCGTGTAGAAAGTGCAAAACCAATTACTTTTCGACACTCAAGTGAAAACCGCTCTAATACCAGTGAGGACAAAATTATGATTAATCATCATTATTGAAAGCGGAAATTTCAACTTACAAAGTAATGTAAAATAAATTCATGTTGAACGAGTTTCAGGATTATATGATTCAGGGTTTCAGTACCTTGACAGCAAAACACTTTTGGGTCCTCATATTAAGAGTTCCTTTCTGATACCTAGTGTCATCATGAATGACAGTCTGAATCTTCTCCATAATGGTTGCAAACCTGTTGTCATTGAGAGACTGTCACATACGAAACAAAATAAA